TTGCATGGTTGTTACTAGCGAGTTGGGGGAGGGTTGCCTCGATGTGGAAGATGACTTTGAAGACTCTCCAATAGACGACGCTCCACCAGAATTGGAGGAAGAAATCAAGTCAACATTCGATGAATTAAAAGAAGTTAACCTTGGGACTAAAGAGCAGCCCCGACCTACCTTTATAAGTTCCCTGCTCAGCAAGGAGGAAGCTACGGATTTGATCAAGTTATTGTTAGAACACAAGGATTGTTTTGCTTGGAGCTATGATGAAATGCCAGGATTATCTTCAGAGGTCACAGTTCATAAGCTGGGAGTGGACAAGAGTGTAGCCCCAGTAAAGCATGCTCCCAGGAGAATGCGTCTTGAAATAGAACAACAAGTCTCGCCGAGGTGAAGAAGTTGATAGACGCTAACTTCGTGCGAGAGGAGCAGTACCCCACGTGGCTAGCTAACGTTGTGCCAGTTAAGAAGAAGAATGGACAAATTCGAGTATGTGTTGACTTTAGAGATTTAAATAAAGCGTGTCCAAAGGATGAATTTCCACTACCGATACCAGAGTTAATGGTGGACATCGCGTCAACACATGAGATTTTCTCTTTTATGGATGGATCGTCAGGTTATAATCAGATCAAGATGGCTCCAGAGGACGCAGCGCTTACAGCTTTCAGGACGCCTGTTGGAATTTTCTGCTACACAGTGATGCCATTCGGGCTGAAGAACGCTGGAGCAACTTATCAACGAGCTATGACGAGGATCTTTGATGACCTCATCCACAACCAAGTGGAGTGCTACGTGGATGACCTGGTCGTCAAGAGCAAGCAACGAATAAGTTACTTGTATGATTTGAGGGTCGTGTTTGAACGATTACGACAATATAATCTTAAAATGAATCCCTTGAAATGCGCCTTCGGTGTCACCTCCGGGAAATTTTTAGGATTCGTTGTCCGTTATCGGGGAATTGAGATCGATCCGGATAAGATTAAAGCCATCTTGGAAATGCCTCCTCCCAAAACCTTGAAACAACTACGTTCCTTTCAAGGGAAATTGGCATATCTAAGACGTTTTATTTCTAATCTTTCAGGTAGGTGTCAGCCCTTTTCGGCATTAATTAAAAAGGATGCCAAATTCGTTTGGGAAGAGAAATGTCAGCGGGCTTTTGAGGACGTTAAGCGATATTTAATGACACCTCCTGTTTTGGCAGCCCCTATCCCGGGAAAACCGTTGATACTTTATACCGC